CCTATCCTACAAGCCAAGTATGATAAGATCCCCAAACAATTTGTATTTGATAAGAAATATAAGATACAATTAAATGAAACCAACCTTCCGGAGGGATTAAACCCAAAAGAGCTTGGTTTTTATGGATGGTTCTAATACAAATGAAGATCTGGAACTCTCGGAAGACCTCAATATCCACATAATATACATTGCTGGGTACCCACAACCCAGTCACTCGGCTACGGGTCTGATCAGATCATACAATACCTACCTTACGTCGGCTCTAGTACGGGTCGGATTAGATCAGAAGTACTGCCCTATGAACTATTTTTTTAAACTTTTTTCGTTTTAAACAAAACCAAAGACAATATGCAATAGATAATAGTATCAACGACAAATATGCTCTTTTATTTTAAACCATAACCTGGCAATGTTTCTTAGGAAAAAAAAATCACTCTGAACTTTCGACGTTCCACGTGTCGCTTTGATGAAGGTGCTCCGTCTTTTTTATAGAATTTTGTATTTGTGTCTGGACTAAAAACGAAGGTATTATACTTTTTTATATTCCTTGTAATATAGTAAACGCGTAGATATATAATTTGTGGTATAAAAAGTGAAAAATAAATTGCCAAAAGTACTTCAAAATCCGGAAGGCCCATTTTGGCGGTTGGGTCATAAATGTGTTATTTTTCAAATTCTCATTTATTTTTAGTGTAAACTGTAAGTAAAAATAGTTTTCTTACATATTTCAAATAACTTGACGTTGTATTTATTTCAAATTCACACAAAACTATTTTTAAAATATTGTTCGAAATGTCATACAGATAAAATATTATTATTTTTTTTTTTATTTTTTATATTTTAATATTTTGGTATGAGTAACGAATAGAAACACATAAAAATATACATATTTCCAAACATTTTCATATAAATTTCTCCAAAAACAAAAGTGTAGAATTCAAATTAGTACTAATTTTGTAACTAAAATTGAAGTATATACTACTACTATGCTATACGGGGTAATTTATGTATTTTATTACAATTTCTAGCAACCAGAAATAATTTTATTCGATAGTTTATACATTCACCAAGAATTCCTGTAAGTTTTATCCATAAATATTGTCTCAAAGTGAAAATGTAGCAAAATTTGCAATGTAGCAAAAAATTTTCTAACTTACAAATTTTCCCGTCATTAAGGTCCCGAGCGAACGGGAGTATAACATGTCGCGCGCTGTCAGAGCTTACCTATTAAGGCAGAATGTATGGGTATCTATATGGTATATGGGTATATATATAAGCGTCTATAGCAATAGATGCTAGGAAGGTAATAGATTTCTCCATCAGAATATTGACTGTCAGTATGGCGGTACGACAAGCTCTGAGTTGCAATGTGGTGAAATTAGGACTTATATATGAATGCCATCAACAATTAAATGAGTTATGTAAACACAACAATGTGACTTTGAAATGGGTCAAAGGACACAGTGGATCCAGAGCCAATGATGCAGCAAACGAACTGGCCATGAGGGGATTGGATATGACAGTTATAGGACTGAAGCCTTTCACTGGTACTTTACTAATCAACACGCTCCATTTTGAAAAATCAAATGTACTGTAGGCAAGCTAAGGAGGCTCTGCCAGAAATAAACAGTTGTATATATAACCAAGGTCTTAATGAGATTGAACAAGCCACAGATCAGGATAGCAACAAGTGCTATTACAGGATACGGGTCTTTTAACAAACATTTATTTACTATAGGTATTACAGATAGTCCCCTGTGCATCTCATGTATAGGGAAGTAGAAAACGGCGGCCCACATATTGCTGGTATTCTGGAGGACACTACATATATAGCTAACATATAGGCACGCCGAGATCACTCCCCAAAGTTACTCGCAACATCAAAGGACTGTCAGAACTTCTTTGGGGAGATTTCATGGCCTGAATAATCACAATATTCCTGCTCAAACGCAAAATACGCGCCTGGAGTTGCGGAAAACAGCCAGTCGTAAACTAAACTAAATGGTCTTTGAATATCCTAAATCTAAATATTGGCACATTAACGGATTTTATCCAGACGAAGTTGGTACGGATCACTAGTTATAAATAATCACAAAACAAAAACAGATAAATGCAAAGATGTCTACTGACCCTCTGCAATTATTTGCCTATGATTATACACTTTTCGTTCCAATTTCTGATTTGTGAATGATGACAGATGATATATGAGGCAGCAGCTTTATTTGTAAGACAGAGGAATGTAATAAAAATTAAAATATTTAGGAAATTTCTTTTTAGGTTTTACATGTGGTAGAGCCATGCTGCAGCTGTATTTACATGTGGTAATGCCGCTATATTACTATACTATATATAATATGCTGCAGCTATATTATTAGTATAGTTGTAGCACAAATGGGTGGGCTCGACTGGGTTAGGCCCACACTCTCACAGAATACCAGCATAAAATAGCAGCTCAATGCTGCTTTGTTTTGTATGGTGAGTGTAGACAACCGGAGATCCATTTTACTGGAAATGAGGCATTATGTCTTAGTTCTCTCAGGTGACAACATTTTGATTTGTCATTGGTGGACAAGGATCGATGTAGATGTCTATGAGCCACAGCAACTACTTACTAACAGGTGGACTGTGTGCTTGTTTGTTACCCTTATTTTGTTAATTTTTTTTTGAGTACTTGATACTGGTAATTCATATTTTATTACCGAAAAAATGGTCATATAATTAATAAAAAAAATTCAAAAGGCTTCCTAAGGATAGAAATCTAAGGCAAATAAAAAAAATCAAAGTGATAAGTTCAGTTTTTCAAAAGATCTTGTTCACCTCCATACTGACTAACTGACGTCCAAGTGAAATCATTTTCGAACTCTTTTTCATAATAATCTGAATAAATAATCTTATAACTACATAAAAAGTATTAATTGAAATCTCCTGTAGTGCGTTGTTAAGCTTGTGGAAGTACTTCAGATGAGCGGATCATGATTTTTTGATTTGGTGACAATAGAGCACTACATCTCCACATCGTGTTTGATGTCTGCAAAATATATTTATTTATAGGAGAGTGAGCAAATAAGTATACGGCTCACCGTTGATGGTAAGTAACTAACGCCACCATTGAACAACTGCAACAGCAGGGGAATTGCAGGTGCGTTGCCGGCCTTTTAGAAAGGAGTAAGCTCTTTTCTTGAAGGTCGTATCGGTCCGGAAAAATCGATGGTGGTAAACTATAACACAGAGAGGTCGTATGCGGAAGAAAACTCCCAGTGAAACATATAGTGGTAGACCGCAAGCATCCATATGGTGTAGATGATATTGGGAGGTTTGTCGCAATGTGCGTTCATGAAATTTGGCGGCTGGGAAAGGACTTTGCTGAGCACGCCAAGCTTTTTAAAGGCCAATTTAATCTTCTCTTCCAAGTCGCCACGAAACTGCACGTCACTCGAAATCTAGACGCCGAGGATTCTAATACGGGCTGATGCAACAAGGGGAGTGCCTTGAAACAGAGGATACGACGAAGGGGTTCTTTTTAGCGGGAAACACGCAAACTTGTGTCTTCTGAGGATTAAACTGGATTAGATTTAATCGCCCTCAATCCAAGACTTTGTTCAGCAAAGATTCGACTTCAGACATAATTTGTTCCGGTACTCAGTGACGTTTTCTCGAGAAATATTGGCACGGCTGGTGTATAGAGCATCATCAGTGCTGCCATGCGCATAGAAATGAATGTTACTGGCTTGCAACATATCATTGAAATGCAGAAGAAACGGAGTTGGTGGTAGCACACAACCTTGTGGAACTAGAGTTGTAATCGGAGCATACACAGTCTACAACGACCTTGATGCTCCGATATGCAAGAAAGCTGGTGATCCAATTGCAAAATTTCTCGGGAAGCCCGTAGTTTCAAAAGAAGTGCTTTGTACCTGAACAAAGGCCTTTGCAATGTCCAAACTAACAACCAAATGCCCTCCCCTTGGACTCTATTGCCTCCACCCATCTATGAGTCAGGTAGATCAGAAGATCATCAGCTGATCGACCTCGACGAAAACCGTATTGGCAGTCACTAATCAGCTGGTGATCCTCAAGGTACCGCATGAACTGGCAGTTTATTATTTTGGAAAACTAGAATATTCCATTATTTTGGAGAACAAGTAGGTGATGGTGATAGGCCTGTAGTTAGATGGATCTGAGCGGTCGCCTTTTTTAGGGATCAGGTGGACGAAATCCGTCTTCCATGATTTTGGGACTTCGCCTAGAGAGTAGGAGTACCGGAAAAGAAAAGACGCATTACAACCGGTGCCAACTCTGGAGCACACATACTCAGCACAATTGTGGGGATTCCTTGAGGCCCACTAGACTTATGGATGTCCAGGGAGAGGAGTGCTTTGCGAATCGAGCACTGTGTGTGAACCACACATCCGGCATGGAGCACTCACATCGCGAGATGGTCGGCGGTGTGCCTCCCCCGTCATCGAGAGTATTTGGATGCAAAGAAAGAGCCTAGCAGATCGGCTTTCGCCTTTGCGGCATAGGCCAGTGAGTCGTCCTCCTTGTGCAGAGATGGAAGAAATAGCTGACAGGAGTTCCCTTGGATAGCCAAGGGCGCTGGTGTTTACATCCCGGGACGTTGAAGCATCAGCCCAGGCCCGATACCACTCGTGCTTATAGCATGATGCTATTTTACAGGTGCGACTAAACCATGGCTGAGATCTGCCCTGAACTGAACTCTTAAGTGCCACATCAGCGACAGAATCAGCAACAACGTGTGATCGTCCAGCGAGAAGCAAACCCGCCCTCCCCCTTACCTCTCAAGGGTAAGATGCAAAGAAAGACCGCATCCTATCCCAATCGGGCGACCTATAGTGCCAAAGGCGGTTATGAAGGTGTGAGTGGATGGACGGACTGCAGAATGCAACCGCGTTTCACCACACTCTGGACTGTTTTTGGACCGAATTGTTCAACCAATTTCTTTCTGAATAAAAATCATATACACCTCTCTCTGCTTCTAGGTGCGGACTACCCTCGGTCCTCGTGGCATGGACAAGTTAATTGTGGATCACAACGGCAAAGCAGTCATATCTAACGATGGAGCTACTATTATGAAGGTAATTTAATTGTTTAGTGTAAATTATTTTAATTACTGCTAAGAAAATTTAAATTTGCTTGCTTGCTCTATACTGTTTTTTTTAAAGATATGTAGTTATGACTCACTATATTTTTCTTGCGCTTAGTACTCCAAAGTTTACTATTTTTGTATATATGGTAGAGTCACGCTGCACCTATATTATGGCTGTAGCTCGAATGGGTCGGCTCGACTGGGGAAGGACCACGCTCTCACAATACCAGCGTAAAATAGCAGCTTAACACTGCTGTGTTTTGTATGGTGAGTGTAGAGATCCGGAGACCCTTTTTTCTGGAAACGAGGCATTCCATCTTAGTCCTCAGGGGTGACAACGCATCTGCGTTTTAATTCTTAATCGAGGATAAATGTAGATGTCTACAGGCCACAGCATCCAGTTACCATCAGGTGGACTGTGTGCTCGTTATTCACCCTTATTCTATAAAAAAAATTGGCAATGGGAAAAGTAAAGTTGCAAGACCATTTGCCAAGTATGGCAATTTTGGTAATCTTTGAGCGTGTTTATCGCAAAGTTGTCGATGATTAAAAATACGGATCCAATTACTGAAGTGTATATGTGGATCTTGATAGTAAACATGAGACAACTAATTCTAATGGAAGATTTGATCGCAACTCTAAAAAAATTGTTTCAGAAAAAAAACCTAATAATGGTATTAACATTTCCAATCCTCAACCACTCTTAAGCTTAAAATGCTTGTGTTAAAACTGGTTCACCGCAGTAGTTGGAATAGCAGGTTGAAAACCCACAAGTTACAGTTTGCAGTCTCGTCCATATTATTAGCCTATTGTTGCTTTAGAGATGCATTGTAGTAAATTTATTATAGAATGTGTGACATGACAGGTGGACTGTGTGCTCGTTTGTCACCCTATCCTATTAAAAAAAGAAATGAAATTAGTGAAATTAACGAAAAATTTGTTGGTCAAATGTATTTTTTTTTTTAAATTTAATTTTACATATTTGGAATTAGGTTCTTCTGACCTGAAACAAAACAATGAGTGACACCGCCCCATTTTATGTTGTGGGTGCCGTAAGTGTGGACTTTGGTAAATGCCGGAAGAATTCTATGGTTTCTGAGTTTACTGGAGTCAGTGTTCACTTATGTGGTAAGGTCCTGCTAGAGCTATAATGCAGTTGTAACAAATGGGTCGGCTTAGTGGAGAAGGACAACGTTCTCAAAGCGTCAGATAGCGTCAGCGTCAAATAGCGGCACGATGCTGCCGGGATTCGTACGATGAGTGTAGGGAACCAGAGACCCTTTTTAATAGAAATAAGGTATATTATCTTAGTCCTCAAGGGTGGTAACGCATCTTGATTCTTAATTGAGGATATATGTAGATGTAATGGGTCACAGTGTGTGTTTGTCAACCTTATGCTATTTAAAAAAATCCGGATTCTGAAGATGTAAATTGCTAAAATTCTTTTTCAGCTCCTGGATATTGTGCACCCAGCGGCCAAGACACTGGTGGACATAGCGAAATCCCAAGATGCAGAGGTATGTTGCTAAAAAGACTAAAATTTAATATGAAATGTGCAAAAATATTGCGTCTTAGTGATCTGAACCTTAAGTAATTTACTTTTATACAAATGAATAAAATTAAAGTGATGTCGATGTGAGCAAATGCAATGGTATATTATATTCTAAAAACATGTTTTTTTTTTGTGAAATCATTAAACTGATAAATGGTTTTTCATGATTATCTCAAACTATATAATAGATAAAGGTTTTGAACAACTAATTAGTGCGCAAGCGTGGCGACTGACTGCGCTGAGGGCCGCAGGTTTGAATACCACATGGAACAATTATTTGTATGGCCTACAAATAATTGTTCCGGGTCCTGAATGTTTGTTGCCTCTACGATACAGGAGAAAATCCTAGTGTGGGGGTAATGTCTTTAAATAAAAAAATAAATAAAAAAAATGTTTTTATACTTCATCATCATTTTAAAGCTATAAGTTAGAATAAGGTAAAATTTATATTGGGTATAGATATTGGATTTATTAGATTCCCTTAATTATTAACATTTTTCCATATTGTTACTGTTATAGCCTAATAAAGTCCAGGGCTGAACATAGATCTTCCCCATAGATTGTCGCATAGGGAGATATGTGACGTACAACAGGTACGAATTAACTTGAGACTCCGCTGGAATGCGACCCCCTTCCTGACTCCCCGCACCGCGTCCCTCGCTGGCCGTGCGCGCTCAGTACCGATAGCATTTTTGTTACGGATACGCGTCTCGACTCTAGTTCGATATTTTTGATAATTGTTTGTTGTTTGGTTTGGACTTTTGTTTGTTTTTGTTATACTTGAACGTTATTTTATCTGTTTTTACTTTGATTTTACATAGTTTGTGCTGTTCCGCTTATCCAAGATTGATTCACTTTCACCCTGTACCTACCCTACTTTTAAATAAATAAATAAACGACACCCTAAGGTTGCCTGGGAGAGATTGCTTCTTAGCAATAAGGTCGCCTGTTATGCTTTGTATTTTTATTGTGTACGAATCTGTAACACTTTTTATAGTCCAATAAAGTGTATAATAAATAAATTAATAATATTATAAATGAGAAAGTGTGTATGTTTATTTCTTTGTCCTTCCTTGACGCGTTACCTAAAATAATATTATATATATTATAAAAAATAAATATTTAAAATATAAAATGGCAAAGTATACACTTTTACTTTTGCCAGAACATTTTATTTTGTTTTTATTAATAATCTCATGCAAATCTCAAAAATTTCAAATAAAAAAATATTACGACGCATTATTTTGCACACCGTACATTGACAATTACGTCATCGGCCCAGGTCTAAGTTAATTCGTACGAGTTATAGTCGCCACGCTTGGCAAGTGGGTTGGCATCTGCAGTTTTTTATTTTTAGTTATTAGGAAAACGCTCTTGCCCATCTCCTGGATTGTTTCTTTCAGTCGCCATTTACAACACCTATGCGATGATATGGGATAGTGGATATTCTTACTCAACACTACACGGTAGAAACGATATGGAATGAATGATATACCTACACGAGTGTGAGCAATTATTTTAACTAATGAAAAGGTTACGAGACCACAACGATTGCCTCAGGGGCCTATGTTCAATAGTGGACTTCAATAAGATGTAATGGTAAAGTTAAGAGCTTCCCAAACATTGCTTTTTGGACACGCTTGCGGGCCGCATAATGAGGCTGGCCTGAAAATTGTATTGGGCTATAGATGAATGTGTAGAGAGAGGACTGCATGCTTGACATGTCTGGTCTAAATGATTAAAACTACGGATCCAATTTCCTAATTGACTTGAGGAAACAATACAGTATGATAGTACCAAGTTATTCTATTAAAAATAAACAATTTTTACAATTTTCTAAGTAAATTATGTTCATCTATAGGTAGGAGACGGCACTACATCTGTGGTGATTCTGGCTGGAGAGCTTCTGAAGAGGTTGAAGCCTTTTGTGGAGGATGGTAAGCATTTCAAATATACAGCTTGAATACCAGCACAAAATAGCAGCTTAATGCTGTTTCATATTGTGAGTGTAGAGAACCGGAGACCCATTTTACTGAAAACCAAGCATTCCATCTTAGTCCTCAGGGGAGACAACGCATCTGCATTTTGATTCTTAATCGAGGATAGATGTAATGTCTATGGGCCACAGCATCCACTTACCATCAGGTGGACTGCATGCTTGTTTGTAACCCTTATTCTATAAAAAATACAATTCAATAAAAAACTTGTGATTACCGTTAAGTGCAGTATTCTTTCTAAGTTATTTCTTTTTTATATCTGTATATAAAGATGTAATACGGTTGGGACGATCCTGAACATGTTCACATACTGCAGACTTCCTAGAGAGTTGGTGCTACACATCAGCTGTATGTTATTTCACACGGGTTTTCGTGGATCTTTTATATTGTAAATTTTATATTGTCTCTTTCGCTTTCAGGTGTACATCCACGAATTATTATTCGGGCAGTGCGTACAGCTGCACGTCTTGCCATTGAGCGAGTCAAGGAGCTTGCAGTCAAGGTTGAAAGCCAATCCCCAGAGGAGCAGAGGTAATAAAATGGCTTGGCTAAAATGGCCTATAGGACCATTCAGTGTTCAATTTTAAACATTGCCAATGATTAAAACATACGGATCCAATTTCTGAAATGGTTGTGTGGATCTTGATAGTAGACATGAGGCAAGGAATTGATTTTACAACATTATAATATATTAAAAATATTTTTTTAATGAAAAAGTACCACTGGGTTTTTAAGCTTGTTCTTGGTAGTTTCTTGAAACTATTTAGTCGACATTTAGTTGTTACCTTGCACTTGTGGTAGACAGACTTTCCAGACCAGACAGAATTTTGGTCACGGCGGCCAGTCTAAGGGAGACTAGCTATCTACGCAGAACAGGAATAAAGTGCACTCTCTATTCCCTCAAACCGCTAATTTCCTGAATCTGTGTCTATATGATTTGTGAGGTTCTTTGGTCCACTCAACTTGGTTGGAAAATTATAGTTAATAAAATGTAATTGTTTTTAACTTTTATTAGTGCCGCTGGGCTGAAGTGATTTTCAATAAGTATTATTTATAACCTATATTGAATAAAAAAGTTTCTGTTTCTTTATTTTATGCATGTTTTTATATTTATTTATCCTCTCGAGCGCCCAAACGTCAAACGCCATAAAGTCGACAAGCGCCCCGGCCGAATTTAGCGTATGAATTTAAGTTGGCGGTCAGCGTTTAAATGCTGATTTCAACGTAAATTCATTTATGAACACTAATGCTATATGTGTCGATACATATCAAACGTGCCTAAGTCACGGATAAACAACTTTTGGGAAAACAATGTTTTTCTTGTCTGGCGTAAATTATACCTTAAAATGAAGTACAGTACTGTCAACACTAATGATATAATATGCATTGGCAATACTGTGACAAAAAAAGTTAAAACACCAATCAGGCAATAAAATAAACGGGTTTTTATTTTGGACTTAAGCAACTTTGATCCTAATACCATGGATTTAGGTTCGTTTGAAATCAACGGTTACCGGACTTAGGCGATAATGAAAAAAACAAATGTGACTTTGACTGGTTTGATGCAACTGACAAATAGAGGGGCGTACTTGGAACCTACCCTACGAAAATAAAAATTTGAAATTAAAAACGAATAAAAAATAGAAATTTAATCAAATAAAAATTATCATTTATTAATGTAATGGCGTTTAATTATTATTAATTATACAAAATCTAAAATTTCATCGGGCAGATAATCAGAGTCATCATTTATTGCATCATCGTCTTTTTGGGACAAACTTATGTTATGAAACAATACATTTTTATAACATTGCAAGTGAGGTAAGTCTTTCCAGTCTTCACCAAAATGTTTTTCAAGTAGTTTAGTAACATCTGTTAGTTTTTCAGTTTTAACATTAAAACATGCTTCTATTCTGTTCGGTAAAATTCTAGAAAAAGATTTCCCACGCTTAGTTATGGCTAGTGAATTGCAAATATCATTTCTATATGAAATTTCTCCCCGAACCAAGATTTTGCGACATTCTGTTTTATCGACGATAATTCTCTTCGTTTTACTTATCTGAAAGTGTAAATATTTGAGTGCTTTTTAAAACATCTCGACATGCAGACTTCCAATCGAAAATTGGTACTTCAGTAACTAAACGTCGGATTGTAGCATTAGAACCCATAATGTCATTGTAAGTTTCATGATTTGTTATAGTTTCTAATCGTCTTATTTTTTTTCTGTCATAGCAAACACCCGATCTGGTGGAATAAAACTGTCCTGTAACGGGAAGGACTATCTCCACCTGGTCTATACTATGTTGTGTATCACGCGGCCACTTAGCGACCATTCCGAGCAATATCGAATTTTTATTTTGGCCGCCGCAACCGTAAAAGTATCTTCGTTTTGCCATCAAGATTTGAATGATTCAGGCAATGATATAAACAGGACGCAATTTCGTTGGCACCTTTTGATGCCACATCTTCTGTCCATACATATGAATAAACATTATTTTTGGTGAGGCTAGCGTGGGAATTACCTTCTACAATCGTAAAGTTATTATATAATTGTCGAGAATAATATGCTGATTGATCAGCTATTTTCGGTAGAGGTAAATTTTTCTGACAATCAAATGACAGAATTAGCAAATCTTGGTTATCTTCTCTTAATTTGTCAAAAAGGCATTTTGCCCTTATTTTGTGTACCCTATATTGGGTACACAATTTTTGTTTTTCAATTTCACTTTTCTCCATTTTTAGTTTTTCTAATAATTGCAAACAGTCCGAACAGACGTCTTGGCGTGGAGCCAAACCCAATATTAAAGGAGGTATTGAATACTTTTCTAAAAAAGCTTTTGGTCACAGAATATCCTGGCATAGATTGGTCTTCATACATTTTGTATAATTTCGAAATGTTCAAGCTTGTATCAAGATAAACTCTTCGTTTTATTTTGCCCCTACAATAATGGCTTTCCAACGGTTGAAATTTCATTATAAAGTTCTGTATGGCTGCTCTCTTGGAACGAAAAGCATGATGTTTTCTATCTCCTCCACGTTTTTCTGATGGGATTTCTCCTGTGGCTGCATATCAATTTGAAACGCCTTTTATGCGACCCAGTTTAATTTTTAGAATTCCACAAAATGTAGCTAGACAGACCGGGACTTTTTCTTTAGTTTTGTACTTGCTGATAAAATATTGTTTTGAGTAAGCACGCCCGTTTCGTGTATTATTTCTTGGGCGTTTTCTTTTCATAGGTCTTAAGAGTAAATTTTGCAAAATATAATTATCTTGACTAATTTTGTTAGGCTGGCTATAAAACTTTTTATGAAAGTAAAAAATATCATTTGAAGTTAACGTTTCACATTTGTATACACTCTTTTTGTTTTGTTGACACTTGGGTTTCTCCGGTAAGGCTTTTGCGGAGTATCTGAAAGTAGGATTTTTTTTTAATAATGCATACAATTTATAAAGCACAATATGCGCTAAGTAAACAGGCATACCCATGTCATACGGCACGCACGCATGTATTGGAATAATATATGGGATAATCTACTAAAAACAATCGATATAGTTATGAATAGTTAAGTAAAATAAATAGTAATGAAATTAACACTGAATTACATACAAAAATATTAATTATCGAGTCCATCTGAGTCCGCCCCTGTTTATGACCGGTATCGATAACCACGTCGCTATAGCCCTACTTAAAACAATACAAAATTAAACAAAGAAACTTACAAATCCTGCTGCTTTTTCTTCCGTTTTTCCTTTCCTATTAACTTCGCCTTCTTTTTAGCTAATTCAGGTCTCACAACTCTTATTATATCTTCCATTATTTAATAAAAATCTAAGCATACGATACGCACGCCGAGAACTTACGACAACAATGGCAGCCATGACACTGAGCAGAGCTGTCTGTCATTGGTTGAAGAGGACTTTGGCGGGTTTGATTTAAAATGACATTGTGACTTAGGCGATTTTGAAAAGAAACGTAGAATTTGGAGCATTATTTTTAAGAGAAATAGTGGACTTAGTTAGAATTGATCTAAAACAACGTTTTTATTTTGTGCACATAAATTACCTTAATAAAAAACATCAAAAAATTTGTTTAGTGGACTTAAGCACTTTTGATATGTATCGACTCATATATTAGTGTTCATAAATGAATATATATATATATATATATTTAAATCGACGAAGACTTCTTTCGTCTTTACAGACTACCACCCTGCCGCGTCCACTATATGCGGCAAGATTTTAAATGTTTTTAATGTGTATTTACGAAGTTTTAATCAATATGATTACATTAGTCGACGTGGAATTTCAATTAAACATGATATGTTAATATTCACTTTTAAATAATTCCCAGTAACTTAGTATGTCCGTTCACCACCAAAATTATCCAGCACCCTGAATATCCCTGTATACCATCTATACACTGCATAAATGTTCCTACCTCCATCGAAACTTACGCTTAAACTGATTCTGTATAATTCCCTATATATGTTACAAAGATCACGATGATAAAGTTACATCCATCAATATTGGAAAAGATTGTGATTCCGTATACAGTTTTTACATTTTGTATTCATCATACTAGTCAACCGGCTTCCAGCTATATCAGCGATTATATTGTTTCTGATATATCAGTAGATACAATTTTTATGTTAGTATTTATTTCGTGTTTTTATAATCTCAATAGTGATAAGCAAAATTCTCAATTAATTTCCTTAGGGGTACAAAGGATCTGACCTTAGTAGAAAATATTTAGACAGTGGAAAATACTCAGACACGGTAGAAGCCTTTTAGTTTTAAGCACTAAAGCTACTTCTTTAACCGCAATTGACTATAAGGAATTTTTCCTCTATTTATTTATTTAGACTTTATTGCACCATAATAATTCAAATACACAAGGTGAGGTTGTTAGGTAAGTTAATGCCACGGGCAGATGATTTGTGTAGTAAATGTATGTGGTAAGGTAATTGTTAGGTAAGCTTATGTTTTTCTTTTAAGTAAATGTTAAATTGTAAATCAATTATATCTCAATGATAATCTTCGCTTTTAAATTATGATATATCATTGTAATTTTCAGAAAAAATTAAGTAATAGAAATAAAACAATAATATTCTAAATATAGCATATTAGCAAACTAAATCTTTATTTTTGGTATGTATTGAGGAACTTGAAAGATACTTAAATTATATGGACATCGTTTGGAAAACAATAAAAAAGATTGTTAATAATTCGTTAATTTTTGAAAGTAAATATTTTGCACAAAAACTTTAATTTAGGCCAGTCTTTGTTTTCAAGCAAATCTCCGTGTTGTTCTTTTAATATTTCACATTCATGTTTTTTAGGTAGTTGTTTATTTTTAATGTGTAGTTTGAAAAAAAAATTCGACAAAGGTACTAATGTTCTTTTCTTTCCAGTTTTTATTTTATTTTTGGTATTTAATACCTGTTACCTCTTCGGTGACGCATTGTTGAGAAGTCCGAATACCGGATGGTCCAGCCTGAGATAAATTGTTTGACGCATTTGTTGAATGCAA